CAGCCGGGGGTACACTGCCCCGCATCTGGCCACAGAGGGGTACAATGATCCAAAAAGGTTGAAAACCCTTGCTATAGGACATAAAAATGCAGACATGCCCTAAAAAAATATACACTTCAAAATCTCAGTCTCACAGTCACTTAAGCACTCATATGAATTGTCCAAGTAAAGTGACATCAATATATGTTATTAGGTTTGGGGCTTAAGGTAAGTCAGACTCTAGGTTAAATATTTTGTATAAGAAAGAATACCCTTTTAAAAAAAAGATGTCAATACTCACTGATAAACACCATTGTAGACCAGAAGCTGGGACACCAACGTAGCCAGGAAAGCAATTCCTATCCCAAGACCAAAGCCACTTCGTGATCTATCAAAGGTCCACCACAGTCCAATTGATAGTGCCGCTAATGTGAGAGACAACTGTATGTTGTTGGCAAAATCCACTTTCTGGGTTTGTAGTTAAGGATCAATGTTAAAATGTAAATTGTCAACGAAGATCATTTTTCCTCACTTTAGCTATTTTTTTAGCTGCAAGATGGTATGCCCCTATGCAGGTAACTTCTACTGAATACAGTTAAATGAGGTAAGCAATAAACTTTTCAAACTTAATACTATATTTAGGAATGTATTTACTTAAAATGATTTTTGAATTTTTTTAAATCTACATCATTGCCTCAGTTTTTGCTAAAAATTACAAAAGCAATGGAGACCATGCAGTTTTGGTAGGCACTAAAACACTTATTCATAGTCTTAATACTTTCTTAAAAGAAAAGAAAATAAACAAAACAAAAAAGACATTTGTGCAAAATGAAAATGGATGGTAGTGCTATGGAACCTATATAAGTCAGTGCTGAGTGCAGTCCCTTCCATCTCTTTTATTAAAATAAATGATAAATTATTAATTCTAGACACTTCTTTACCAATTTACCCTCTTCCAAGTGCTTTATAAATATCAACTAATTCATCCTTACAGCTTCTCTATGAAAAAGTATTATTAAAGGGAGACTTGTCAAGTTTCATAAGCCTAAATTAAACCTACAGTATGACAAATTTAGAGGTAAAAGAAATGTGCTATTCTCTCACACAGGAGTCCAGTATCCTGGAAATTTGAAAATAATGGAAATTACAAATCTGTCTATCCTGAAATGACAGTAAGAGAGAGACAGAAAGAGAGAGAGAGAGAGAGAGAGAATGACAAACATAAGGAAACAAACGAACAAAAACTACATCAAACATGGAAGTTTACAAGATCTTACTGCTGTTCTTCAATCATAAAATAAACCAAAGCTAAGACTCTGGAAAGCCAAGAAGGATAAAACAGATGCACTATACAGAGACTAGAGCTGTTAGTAAACTATATAAATGTTCAGTGAAAGTAGCCTGACACAGGGTATTTAACCCCATTTCTTCACAACATGCTTGAATTGCTTGACACTGGCATTTAAATGTAGCTCTATTCAAGTAATGGTGGAAGTCAAGGAACCATGTGCAAATTTTTTTGAAAACAAAACCAAGGCCTGCAAGACACCATCAGCAGGACTTTATCTGGTGGCTCCGATTTTTCAAGCTAAAATGCATCTCTAAAAGTCATAGCTAATTTAGAAGGGATCGGTATTGATTTAGGAGATGTTCTTCCACAGATTATCATGAATTTGGGGCATTTAGGAGAAACATCCTCCACCTGGTAAAATGGCTAGAATTACACTTATGTTTGCAAAATGATTCAAAAGTGATGGGTAAAACAGTATTTTTCCTACTAATCCCCCTACTCCTCCTCATTCTTTGGCAAAGTATAAGCTTCCCTGATGCACATTTATGTTAGAGCTTGAAAAACAAAACCATCTTGAGCTCAAAACAAGTACACAAACAGCATTATTTAAAAATCTACCAGGGCATAAAAATCTTTATCTTCTATTTGTTTTAATCACTCAAAAACTGCCACAAAGATTCAAAACAAACAAAAACAATCCAAAAAACAAAGGATAAGAGATTTCAGATCAAGCAGTAGTTTTAGGAACCTGTACACATAAGGCTCATTAACTATAATGTTGCTGCTGTGGTTTTGTAACAGTTCTAACCCCAAACTACACAACTTTATTTCCCTTCTAGAACTGCACATTATATTTGAAGCAAGTACATTGTGATTGTGTTTAACCTTTGATTTACTGGAAACTTGTATGTGATTGCTAACTTTGCTGCAGCACAGGATACAGCACTGGCATGATTTATGCCCACAAAGACTGCTACACATCGCATTACACTGGACCATTCTCTCTTAAACTTATGTGGCTCTCCCAGATGTCTGTCCATGCAGGGATACAATAACCCGATTGCAGCTGTGGAAACATGAAATAAACAGTGACAATTATGGGAA